GTTCTTCAGTTCCTTGAGCTTAAGATATGCTGAGCGAGTTCGGCCCTTTTGATTTTCTGACTCCAACTCCTCGCACATTTCATTGTAATATTTTGCCGTGCTGCCTTTTGAAATCTTCTATTCAACTCTTTAGTATCTTGAATTCTTCCCTGTGCTTTGGCTTCTCTGCGCTCCAGTGCAATTTTCACTATTGTAATAATAAACTCATAAACTGAATAGAATTAGATGAGATGAGTAATCCACAAAGAAAACATGAACATAAAATTATTTTTAAAAGACATAAAGACAAGTCAAAATTAAGATAATTAACGCAAAATGTGGCTTTTATAAGTAAAAATCAATGCAAAAGTGATAAACCTATAAGAATCTATTAAACATAATACTTAGAAATCTGTATATTTTTTTCTAAAACTCATTTTTGTTTGTACCGAGATTTATACATAAAACATCCAGACACGATGAATATTGTTCATTTTTGTAAAGTAGGTTGGAGATGGAGAAGAGGGAGATGTTAGCTTTTTCAGCAGTGTCAACCACCTATTAACTCTTAGTTCCTAGTTCCTTTGTATGCAGGACGTTGAAGTGGGAGTGAGGGGAGCAGGAAACAAGAAATACTGTTCTTTTGAAACAAGAAAACACTGTTCTGTCCCTGACATTTTTTTAACATTTTCCTATATATAGTTTATCATTTTCTATTTTGATATTCTTCCTCTTTGAACTATTTGAAATTGTACTGCAAATACTATATCCTTTAATATTACTATGTGTATATTTAATAAAGAATAGTATCTTAACCTAACTGCAATGTTATGTGCCATCAAGTTGCCTGTGACTCATAGCGGCCTTATGTAAAACAGCTCTGAACCCTACCCTATCCTGAGCCTTTGTCAGTCTGACATACCTACCCCCCATTACCCCAGTTACTGTTTCAAGCCATCTTAACCAGGATCTTCATCTCCTGTCATCCCTCCATCCTTCTGTGCATGCTGTTCTCCAAGAACTGGTCCCTCCTGGCCATGTGCCCAAAGTATGTGGGACAGTTTCCAAATCCTTGCCTCCAAGGAGAAACTTGGTTTCACCCTCTCCAGGATAGACCTGTTCTCACAGTATGTTCGTATTTTTTTCAGCACCGCAATTCATAGGCATTGATGATGACGTTTTTTTTAATTCTATCATCCTTAATCACATCTTAGGCCAGCACTCTCATGCATAGTAAACAACTGCGAAGACCATGGCCTGGATCAGGCACACCTTAGTCTCCAGACTGACATCGTTCAACTTCAGCACTCT